AGTTGATTTTGTATTATCTCTACCCTCTGAGAAGAATTCATTAGAAAATCTGGATAAGTAGTTTGGTTCCAATAAACTGGGATAGGCAAAATGTGGTCTACAGGCCACATCCAGCCTGCATACCTTCTACTCAGAACATCAGCAGCTCTCCGGATAAGATGCTTCCCCTCATATGCTACCTGATCCTTCTAACTCAGGGGTAGGGAACCTTTGGCCCTCCAGCTGTGGTGGACTTCAACTCCCACAATTCCTTGAGGCTCGGCATTGGGCCAAGGTAAGCCTTTGGGGCGAATGCCGAGCCTCAAGGAATTGTGGGAGTTGAAGTCCACCACAGCTGGAGGGCCAAAGGTTCCCTACCCCTGTTCTAACTGGAGATGCAGGAGAATGTGACCTTCCACATGACCTGCATGCAATGTACTTCTTCCTATTAGACAAGAGGGCATATCACTCAATTAACTCAATTAACTTTGGAAACTTGCCATTCCTACCAAGGAAGTGCAACCGTCTGTTTTGCTTTTCATGCTACAGTAAGCAATGCAAATATAATATGAAACAATCTGCCTCTAATTTCTTTAAAGGCAAGAGACATCTGGGCATGTAAGACACTAAAAATGAAATAAAACAGGGAGATTCCAATGCACAATAGCCTTCCAAGTATGTTGTATAGTTCGCATAACAACTGTAATGAAAATGTAAATATGGCAGTGAGTACATGCTTACTTTACATTCCACATATGTCTGATTAGGTTCTTTGGGTTTAGAAATACAGCCCACAGTGTCTGGAATTCATTGGTTGTCTCCAATCTAAGCATTAGCAGGACATTTCCTGTTTGCTTCCAAGTTCAAACAGGATCTAGTGTCTTTGGAATACAGAGAATAGAGTCTTTCAGATAGCTACACAAGACTATTATTTATTTATTTACCTTATTTATATCCTGTCTTTCTCTACCCTGAGGGGGACCCAAGGTGGCCTACAATTGCACCTCCATGGTGCCTTAAAACATACAACATCAGTTAAAACGTAAGTTAAAATTAGAACATAATAAGCGTAATAAAATACATATCAATGAATCACATCATCTAGAGTCATAGTCTAAAGGCCAGTCCGTAGGCAAATTGCACATATTACATACTAACATTTCTGCACTGCTCTATTTTTCAAACGTCTGCTTCCAGAGCCAGGTTTTGACTCTCTTTCTAAACACCAGGAGGAAGGGGGCTGCCCTGATATCCACAACCGAGGGACCACCACTGAGGGGGCCTTGTCTCTCATCCCCACCAACCTCGCTTGCAAAGAAGGTGGGACCAAGCGTAGGGCCTCCACCAATTATCTTAATCTCTGAGATGGTTTATAGGCTAAAGCCAGCACTTTGAATTGTGCTCGGTAGCAGATTGGCAGCCAGTGGAGCTGATGCAACACGTGGGTGGTATGCACAATCAGCTCTTTGAATGATCCAGAGCCAGAGTAGCTACTGCAATAAGGGAAATCTATACTTTCTGTAGCCAGCCCTAGTTAACAATCTGACTGCAGCTCCTTGGACTAATTTAAGTTTCTGAAAATGTTTCAAAGGTAGCCCCAATGATCCAAGTGGGATGTAACACATGTCATTGTGGCCAGATGAGACATCTCAAGAAATGGGCAAAGCTGGCATACAAACTTTAACTGTTTTATTGTACCTGGCCACAGCAAAGACCAGAGCTTACAAGCTCAGGGTTGAATCCAGGGCTACATGCAAGCTATGAACCTGCATCTTATGGGGGAATGTAACCACATTCAGCATAGGCAGAATCCCCTTTCCCTATCTGTCTTTTGATTGATTAGGAACACTTCCATATTGTCAGGACTAAGTATCAATTTGTTTGCCCTAATAGTCCCTTACAAGCACTAGTTTAATTTCAAGACAGTTTCTTTAGACTAAGATGGATTGGAGTAATAGATCTGAGTCTCATAGTAACACCACATAGTTAAACAGGAATGTACGTGGATTTTTTTTTACATTCAAATAACAAAAAAGCAAATAATAATTCCTTAAAAACGGCAATTATAGCAGAAGTTATCATTGTAACTACTTATTTTTAAAATACATTTCCAGGGCAATATAATTCTGAGACATCTTGCTCACCCATCCAAATATACTGCAAAGATGTCAAGAAGCAAAGAAATCTTAGCTATCAGACAGGACCATTTACTGAAACAGCAGTTGTGATCAATGGCAGCTCCATTTCAATGTGTTCAATATGATTTTCACCATAATAGGCATAAACCTAACTGTAAGTGATAATCCCAAATAGCACAGACACACTGGATCGGCAGGATTAACGTTAACTGTTGAGTTACCATTTAGCCAATGTTTCAATGAATCTACTTTCATCACGACTACCAATAAATTTAGGTCACTGAGTCCTAAATATATCTGAAAGTTTGGAAGAGAGAAACTAGGTTGGGTGAGAACCCAAAAGAGGTCAGTTGTCCTTCCTCGTACACACAGAGTTTACTTTCCAAAATACTGTCTTTCCTAGAAAATGCTCATTCTGAAAAGCTCTCTTTACTGGAAATCTTGTAAATGCTATTTCCTTTCCTGTTACCACTGCTACCCATCACACTAATTCAGTTAAGTTAAAACACAGCTGCAACAAGAAACGGTTTATTCAGGAGTGTATTTGCAAAGAAAACGCACATTTTAGAGTACCACAAGTCAGGAACAATAAGCTGTTCATGCATGAAACAAATATCTCACAGAAAATGGATATGACATGTAAAATGCCCACCATCAAACATGTGGAGAGGGTGTCATTTGGGGATAAACTACATTTCATGTGTACTGGGAGGTAGCACAGTCATATGAGCAGCACATTGTAAAAGTGGTTGGATTTCTGCAGCATTTTTAATAACTTTAGTGGTGATTTATTACAACTGTTCAATGGGTTTTATGTTTTATTGGCTGTGTTCTTGTGTAAGCCAGACACTCCATGGTTTAGGATACAGAATAAGAAATATGCAAATATTAATTAATATATAGAAAAGGTATTCCAATTATCTTTTTGTGTGAATGTAGGATACATTCCTATTTCATTTAACATTTTTGCACCAAGCAAAAAAGACAATTTCTTCATTAGAGAAGGTTGATCGTTCTCTGTATTCAAACTCTAAGTTAAAAACTTAAAAATTTAAAACTTAAAAAAAACTTAAAAGTTTAAAAACTTTCAAATGCTTATTATTGGGCTGAATAAAAATTACTCACATTGTCCCCAACCCAGGTGTCCATATTTTGAACAGAAGTATCACATTATCCGTAATTATACAAAAATGGCCCACATTTCCCTTCTTTGTAGTGTGTGTAGGTTTCTTCCACATTCTGACTATAATTTGAACAGAAATATCTCTACATTGGAGGCATATTCTTGCACTACCTAACAGCATGGCAGTGATAAGAGTTTGTGCCCTACCTGACTATGCACTGGATTTTGGGTTGAGTGGAACTTCTTCAATTTCCTATTAGTTGGATGCATGGCCCAAACTAGCAGCTATTAAGGTGCTAGCATTTCTCTGTGGTGTAAAAGTTTCTTGATGGCGTTCAATATTTTACATTAAATGTTATTTACTGGTTTTATGGGTGTGAAGACATAACTGCCATAACTGTTACTATTTTCTAAAAGACAGTATCTCTTGCAGCAAACCCACAAGGAATCTTGGTTTTATTGTAACAGGTAATAATAATAATAATAATAATAATAATAATAATAATAATAATGTTATTATTATACCCTGCCTCCATCTCCCTAAAGGGACTCATGGCATGCCCACAAGACATAAAGTGAAACATTTCATTAAAACAAAAAACACAATTAAAATAAACATAGCAAAGCATAACAATTCGATACCATCAGATAAAACCACAATTAAGTAAAACATAAGGGTATAAAACAACAGCATAAAGACTTGCTCAAACAATACATGTCAAAAACCAATAACCAGAAATATTGAGATGGGCATGCTCGGGCTTTAAAAAGGACCGGGCATAAGATAGTGCAAAACACCATAGCATATGGCCTGGTGATTAGAAAAAGTGCAGAGAACAGAGTACTATCTGGAGAGCTCGGGACTGGGCATTTGTAAGTAGGGACTAGTCATTCTCGAATACTTGTTGGAACATCCAGGTTTTCAGATCTCTATGAAAGGAGGATAGTTTGGGGGGTTTCCTAATCTCCCTGGGGAGGGTGTTCCAAAGTCAGGGGACCACCACTGAAAAAGCCCTCTCCCATGCCTGTGACAGTGGTGGGAGCAAGAAGAGGGCCTCCCCAGCGGATCCTAGAGCCACACTGGTTCATAAGGGGAGATGCAGTCATGAAGAGAGGTGGGGCCCAAACTGTTCAGGACTTTGTAGGTCATAACCTGCACCTAGAATTGGGACTGGAAACTTATCCCATCAGGAAAGTGATACAATGTAATGATATTGATTAACTTTATAAAACCTTGTGCACAGACATGATGAAATACACCCTAGTATATGAAATCTAATGTTATGACAAATTCGTTTAGATTTATATATAAATGTTAAGTTTTAAAAGGCCATTTCATGAAATAATGGTCTTCCTCTTTCCTATATGTAAAATGCATATAGGCATCATACAAGTAGCCTAGTCTACTTTTTTTCCCCTTTCACTCGTCTTTGATAATTTTCTCCTCCATTTTTTTCTCCAGTTCTCTTTTTAAAGTCTTCAAGCTTACGTTCACAGGTACATTTTGGGGAAGTAAACTATGTAATCAAATAGTATGCAGTCTGCCATTAAATCAATGCACATTACAAAAGATCCTGAGCCCCATTCTAGGCCATGCATTTAAACAGTTTGGTCCATAGGAGAGACATCCATCTTTCCTATGTGACCATGGTGGTCATCATGTATGCTGAAACTGCTGTACTATCTTTAAAAATCATTAATCAAAATGTAAACTTTGCATGGGTGAACTAAAAAATATGCATGTTAGAGACTGGCCTTACCTTTACTTGGTGCCGATTTTCTCACAGACGCAACATGATCCTCCGAGATGGCAAGTCGCCTCAATACATCAGCCAAAGCTGCTTTCAGCACGGTGATTTCATCTTCTTGTTGCTGCACTCGCAGTTCAAGAGCCGAAAGGCGGTCTTGGACATCAGATGTACTTGCTGCAGAAATACTATCATCTGTTCAAAATAATCAGAAAAAAAGGTGTTTAGTATGGTGAAGCTGGTAAACAAAAAGAGGACAACAGATTTACACACTTTCATTTAAAATATATTATATTCCATATATGCATCTTATAAATATGACTAACAATCAAATACACAGTAGAACTAACTTATCCATATACAATAAATAAGGAAGAAGACAACAAAAAATAAACAACAAAGGTGCATTTAAAATAGAGGAGTTCTGAAGTTCATCTTGGCCAGAACTGCGATGTTGGAGTTGGAATTCTGGAGTTGGAGTTGGAGTCAGAAGCAAGTCTTACTGACTTCAACTACAGCTTTAAAATAAGAAGGTGCAATATTGTAATAATGTTATATGACACAGGTATCATTTTATATACAGCCAGCTTTGACTCTCCTTGGAGTGAGAAAAAGTGGAGTATAAATAAGCATAATAATAAGAAAAATTATGACTAATCACTGGGTTGTTGAAAGTTTTCCAGGCTGTATGGCCATGTTCCAGAAGCATTCTCTCCTGATGTTTCACCTGCATCTATGGAAGGCATCCTCAGAGATTGTGAGGTCTGTTGGAAACTAGGAAGATGGGGTTTATATATCTTGGAATGTCCAGGGTGGGAGAAAGAACTCTGTGAATGTTTCAATTGGCCACACTGATTAGTATTTAATGGCCTAGCAGTTTCAAGGTCTGGGTTTTTACTGCCTGGGGGAATCCTTTGTTGGGAGGTGACCTCACAACCTCTGAGGATGCCTGCGATAGATTCAGGCAAAACGTCAGGGGATAATGCTTCTGGAACATGGTCATACATCCCGGAAAACTCACAACAACCCAGTGCTTCTGGCCATAAAAGCCCTCAACAATACATTATGCCTAATCAATTATGTTTTATGTCTAATCATATGCTGCTGATGAAATCTTTTGTGTTTCAATTTCACTACAGTAACCATAACTTTCTTATTTTTAATTAATATACATTTGCATTTACGAAGGCATTGGAGTCAGTTTGATGAAAAATACAGGAGCTAGAGGCAGATTTAAAAGTATTGATTCCACAGCAACTTTGGGAAGAATGAAGTGGTAGCCACTATCTTTGTAAAGTCCACCCCACCAAGGCAACTCTTTAAAAAATGGCAGCAATCCCCATGAGGTGAGTGATTGAAATATTATAGCCAGTAGCATAACATATACTTCTGATCCTAATATTCCAAAACAAATAGACTTTTTGCCACTAATGCTGATTTGACTTAGTCACATTTCTTTGTTTGGACCCAAAATATAGTTACAAAATAAAACATGACTGAGTAGAATAAAACTAATCTACAATTACCACATAAAATACAAACAGAGGGTGTACAAACCACAGTCGATTAGTATTGCAAACCCTAATTAGGATCTAAAACTTAAAGATATTAAAACATAATCTCCCATCACCATACACCAGGTATTGGAAACATGTGGCCTATCAGGTATTGTCCCGGCAGTCCTAGCAAGAAGAGTCAATTGGAGCTGTAACCCCCCCCCCCCCCCCCCCCCCGCAAAATATGAATATGCATGCATTATATCTATAGTCTGCATCTAGAGACATTGGTACGTAATTACCAGCATGATGGAAGTTCCTTGCTGACCTCTATGCTGCCCCCAAACTTTTTCCATAGATTATTCAATTCTCAAGTATAGGACTTAAGGGCAACCAGTAGGAATACTACGCTTCCCCTTTCTGCTGATGGAGGTAGTGTGATCAGCAGAACTAGTTCAATAGATCATGGCTATCATTTTCTTAAGATATGATTATTTGAAGAAGTGGTTCTTACCAGTACCTGCATAATCCTGCAAGGTTTTGGTTCTTGTTTATGAACCCAAAGCATCTAACTTCAATTGCAAGCCATTGCTTTCATCAGCAAAATACTGATTTGGGCATCTAAACCACCACACTGAAAATCCCTGGTAAAGCAGACACGTTTTGAGTAGGAATTTGGCAAATTACCTGGCAAATGAATACTTCTAAAACAGGATTCATGTTGAGGAACAAAGTAAAAACATCTTTAAAATAATCCCTGGAATAATTCACATGCCCAGAAATGAATATCAAAATAAATAAATACATAAATAGTTCAGGAAATTAGCATCTCAGGGAAATCAGAAACCTTGAATGTAATACTTTCAAATAAATTATCTACTTGAGATGCTGATTTGTGATGTCTAAATTATGTTTTTGCTCAATTCTGGACATATATGGTGACTCTAATTATTCACAACTCTTGAATTGCATTTCCTATTACTGATAATTATATATTACTTCACTGTAAAATAGCCATTGTCAAGTCACAGTGTATACATTTAAAACAAATTGTGAAAGGATCAGTTGAGGCAACTCATATGCACATTTTTGGATGCAACATACTTCCTTCCTTTTAGTCACAATCTCTCTCTCTCTCTCTCTCCTCTCTGTATCACTCTGTATATTTCATTTGGTTCACTGGAGACCCAGGTGCAATGAGTTAAACCCTTGTGCCAGCAGGATTGTTGACTGATAGGTCAGCGGTTCAAATCCGGAGAGTGCGCGGATAAGCCCCCTCTGTCAGCCCCAGCTCCCCATGCAGGGACATGAGAGAAGCCTCCCACAAGGATGGTAAAAAATCAAACACTTGGGTGTCCCCTGGGCAACGTCAGTTCTCTCACACCAGAAGCAACTTGTAGTTTCTCAAGTCGCTCCTGTCATGAAAAAAAAAAAACTTGGTTCACTGTGTTAATATTAAAGTTTGCCCTCACTCGGTACTGAACAATGGAAAGTCACCAGACTTATCAATACAAAACTGGGAAAGATTAACAGACAGTAATGTTGTGGTGGATAGAGATCTGGATATGATAAATACTATCACTGTGTAACAGAAACATGATACTATTGCATGGAAAGTGCTATTTTGGGTGCACTGTCAGAAGAATAATGCACAAGATAATAATACAGAATAATGCAGAAAACAGGAACCTTTTCTTCCATACACATTCAGCTCTGTTGAAATACAGTGGCCAGTTAGAGTCATTGCACAGATATAAAGAGCCAAAACTGATAATGGAAAAGCCTGACAGTTGGGCAGTCAGACAAACTGATCAAGAAGTAATGGAATCCCTAAAGGTTACTCGTAAGAGGATGAATAAGCACCTGTTATGTCTAGGGATGGTCTAGGGAATTTGCCCTTCCAGCTCTGATTCTGTTTCAGCAAGAGTTCCAGATGCACATTTGCAGCTTTCAAATATCTTTAAGGGGGGCTTAAATAGCTTGCATACGCATGCAAATCTCACACTGTTACGGACATTTCAGAACTGTTTAACATTTCATATTTCATGCAGCAACTCCACCCTCCTGGGGTCTTGAACAGCTGTACTCTTGATGAGAGATACATGCCTTTGTAAGTGAAAGGAAAATCTCTAATGATTGGGTTTTCTCTTCAAATGGTGAAACATTTTTGAAATAGTTTAGGGTAACATCTGTTGCCCAGGCGAATATGACTTTAAGACAGACTTCTTCAACTTCTAACGTATCTGCAGGTTTAAAGTGTTTTAAAGCATTGAAATGAATGGTATTTACCTGCATAGCAACTTCACACATAAACCTTACGTAAACTACCGTGCCGTCAACCCTAGGTGAGCTATTATAATTTATAAGTCAGTACAAATAAATGGTTTCTAGAACAAATCAGGACTGAACATTTCCTAGCCACTATGACTAAACTGAGGCTGTTGTACATTGGCCATTTCATGAGAAGACATGTTCTCATAAGAAAAGGCGATAATGCTTTGCAAAGTGGAGGGTGGTAAGAAAAGAGGAAGACCACATGCCAGGTGAATAAACTCAATCAGAGAAGCAACACCATGGAGTCTGCAAGACCTGAGCAAAACTGTTGAAAATAAGGTGATGTAAGGGTTATACAATTCACAGCCCTACCTTACATGCTTGCTCCATAGAGAGGAACACTGAATATCTATTGTGAACATGGCAGATTCCAGGTTCCTGCCCTGACATCTCTCGTTCAAAAAAACTCCATTACCCGAAAGCTCAGTGTGTTGCTTCTAGTCTAGCAGACAATACTAGATTCAGTAGACCAAGGTAGCTTTGCTTATTCACTATCAATATTCAGTTGCATTTTTCTCTAAATATTAGTTGCCAAGGGCCATACTCTTTCTTCATTTTCAAGTTCCTAGAAGCATCTCTCTGGATGGTGACTGGTGCTGACTCAACCACCATGGTCTGATTCAGCAAGACAATTCTTAAAACTGGATAGAAGATAAAAGCCCCATTTGAGTGTTCGGCATATTCAAATAATGCCTCTTCTCCTCCCTCTCCCCCCCAAAAACCTTCATGTATGCTGCATGCCAGATATCTACACATTTAGCATCAAGGCCTGGAGGGAGGTTGCATGTTGTGCAAAAAATATATATAGAAAAGCAATATATGTTATAGATTATATGGGTAAGCAGATAATTGACTGCAATGAGCAACTAGATGCATATTAAATAACTGAGCGCAGTAGCTGTTTTAATCAAGTAACCACACAAAGACACATTTTACTTGTGAGTACGCAAACACAATATCATATAAGCAATCTAAATTCCAGAAACAGCAAACATGGGTTGCTTCAAAAAGTATGGGAAATACTTTTGCACACTTAGTATTTTTTAATTATTTAAACAATGGATTCATTTTTCATTGTTTGTGATGTGCCTTCTATTGCATCTTTGCCCAGAAGGAAAACTGTTTTTCGACTGCTACATTTCCCAATCAATTCTGGAACATTGTTTCAAAAACAAAACCGGGGTGGAGGGGAAGACACTGAAGTCATTATGTAGGCTAATTGAAGACAGAGCCAACTGGACTGTTCATTTATAAACTCTGTTTATTTTATTCTGTCAGTGGTGTTCGTTTGAAAGCATTACTTACCCCAGCTTATTGAAATATGAATGGGAGCAGGATTCAGACTGATATGCTCTGATATTATAA